AAAAAAAAAGATTGGTTTAAAAAGATATAAGGAGGGAAAGGTTATCAGGAGAAAACAAAGTTGATAATAGCCCTATTAAGATTTTGCTGTGATTAGGACCTTTGCCAAATGCGTTGGCCATGCCAGATGTCTCTCATTTCTTGAGCACCCTGTGCTCTTACTGTCACTTTAAGCCCTTGCACAGTGCTCTCTGTTATTTTAGGGCCTCATGCATGCTACTTTGCCAGGAGCACACATTTGTCTTTCATTTCCTTGTATCACCTTCCCAGCTGCACTTGGCTAACTAACTACAACTCATCCTTCATATCTCAGTTACAAATCAGACTTCATTAGGTACCTCTCCCACATGTTTCTGTCATCATTCTTACCCTATTTTTTTGTTTTTAAATTAAACACTAGAATTTATTCAGATTTGACTAGTTTTTTTTTAATTTAATGTTCTCTTTTCTGTTTCAGAATCAAATCTGTAAATCACTTTGCATTTAATTTTCCCTAGTGTCCTCTGGCCTTTGACAGTTTCTTCAACTTTCCTTGTCTCTCATGACCTTGACAGTTTTCAGGAATAATGATTTGGCATTTTGTAGAAACCCTGATGTGTTTTATTTGCATAGGTACTTATAGTTTGACTATCAGGGCAGTCAGGAAGGGCAGCCAGGTTTTTTTCTTGTACACTTTGGCATTTGTGGTTTCTATGATATTGTCTCACTTAGATTGTACTGAAAAATATTTGTTAAGGGGCTGGGGTTGTGGCTTAGTGGTAGAGCACTCGCCTAGCATGTATAAGGCCCTGGATTCAATCCTCAGCACCACGTAAAAATAAATAAATAAAAGGTATTGTGTCCAACTACAACTAAAAAATAAATATTTTAAAAAAATACTTGTTGAATAAGTTAGCTCTCACCTTTTCTATGCTTTTATTAGGAAATGAAAGATGATTCTGACAGTGAAAAGCAGCAACAAATCCATCACATCAAGAACTTGTATGCCTTCAACCTCTTCTGCCAGAAACGCTTTGATGAGTCCATGCAGGTCTTTGCTAAACTTGGCACAGGTAACAAGTGGGTATGGCATTGAGATAGGAACTACAGAGAGAATGGAAACTGGAAAGAATAGGGGTACCAGACTTTTGATCTGCATGTATAACAAGATCCTGTGGGTGGCGTGTCGGTTACATTTTCACAGTCCTAATCTTATGAAAATGGTCTCATCCATAAATACAGACTTCTAATGTTCCAGAATGATTTGCCCTCACCTTTATAGAAAGGTAAGAGAGTCATTCAATTCATCAAATGTGTATGTGATCATCTGGTGTTTATTGAATGTTCTTCTAGACAAAAGTCCCTGGGTTAAATAGTAGTTCATTTTTGAGAGCCAACATAGGAAGGTGCTGTGAAGTCCTCCCTTTTCTTAGTGTCCTAAGATCTCTCCAAGAGCTTAGGCAGAACTACTGGACCTTTCTGTGCTTTAATTTCTCCTCTACAAAAGGTGTATAATGGCCTGGCCATGGTGGCACACACCTATAATCCCAGCAACTGGCAGTGGTGATGCTAAGGCAGGAGTACAAGTTCAAGGCCAGCCTCAGCAACTTGGTGAGACCCTGCCTTAAAATTAAAAAGCAAAACAAAACAAAAAAGGCCTGGAGAAGTAGCTCAGTAGTAAAGCACCCCTGGGATTCAATTACCAGTATCCCTCCCCACCTCAAAAAAAAAAACAACCCAAATCTTTTCATTTCTGTATGTTCCATTTTTGCTTAATTTGGATCAATTCATATATAATCCATATATACTTAGTTTTCTTCTCTACCGTATTATTATCTTCTCCTTCCTCATCTTTGCTTTGACTTTTCTTCACTATCTTCCAAGACTAGTTAATAATGCCCTGTGATAACTCCTTGTATGAGTTCAGGTTCTTGGTTGTAATTAATAATGACTCAAGTCTGAATAATGTTAGCATAATCTGACAAAGTAAGAGGGTTTATTGGAATATTGGGGGGGGTGACAATTAGAGGGAACCATAAAGGTGATAGGACACAAGGCTTAAGAATAGGTAGGTCCCAGTGCCTTGGGGGACTGAGACAGGAGGATCGAAAGTTCAAAGCCAGCCTCAGCAATGGTGAGGCACTAAGCAACTCAATGAGACCCTGTCTCTAAAGGAAATACAAAATAGGGCTGGGGTTGTGGCTCAGTGGCCAAGTGCCCTTGAGTTCAATCCTTTGTACCCTACTCAAAAAAAAAAAAAAAAAAAATAGGCAGGGCTAGGTGCATAGGTGCAGTGGTAAACTCCTATAATCCCAATGACTTGGTAGGCTAAGGTAAGAGAATCACAGGTTCAAGCCAGCTGCAGCAACTTAACAAGTTTTTATTTCTCAAAATAAAAAAGGACTGGGAATGGGTCTCAATGGTTAAACACTCCAGGGTTAAATCCCTGGTACCAAAAAAAAAAAAAAAAAGGATGGCATTGAAATAGGAAGCAGAAACAGAACAGTAATCACTTTGTAGCCAGGACAGGTTAGGCAGTCTTGCTCTGGCATAGCCACTTCCTATACTATTATCATTACTACATCCTCCTTTGTGTTATCCTCAATGAAAATTGCCCCCTACCAGTGCATCAGCTATCTAATGTTGTACAAGTCACCTTAAAACTTAATAGCTCAAAACAACAAACATCTGTTCTCTCTCTTTCTCCCCCAACAGCCCTTCTCTCCTCTCTCGATCTCTCTCTCTCCTCCTCTATCTCCACCCCTCTTCCCCGCCCCTCTCTCTCTCTATCTCTTGGTCAGGAATTTGGGAAGGGTTCAGCCAAATAGTTCTTGCTGCAGGTCTCTTGTGGTTACAGTTGGATGTTGGCTGGGCTTCTATCATCTGACTGGTCTAAGCTGGCTCACTCTCATGGCTAACAAGTTGGTACTGGCTGGGGCTTGGGCCTCAGTTCTTGTTCACATGGTTCTTTCCACAGAGCTGCCTGAATATCTTCATGCATAGCAGCTGGCTTTTCCCACAGGGAGTGGTTTCAGAGACCCAGGCAAAAGCTTCAGTGCCATTTATGACTGTTGCTTCTGCTATCTTTTGATTTACAAGGGTCCATCCAGTTTCAAGGTGACACAGACACCACCTTTGATGGAGGAGTATCTTGTTGCACAAGAGGAGCATGTGGGATGGGATATGTGTTGGTGTGTGCCATATTGCTTGTCATTTTGCTTTTCTTTCTCAAAATTGGGGATCTCATTGGCTAGGAATAGGTCCTGGTCCCACTTCCAGAATGTACTAGGGCTGTCGATGGTGTTTTGGCCCTTCTCTTTTGAAGGCTAAGACTCCTCTCCAACTGAGATGAAACACAGTGTGGAAGAGGGAGCGCTCCAAAAGGATATAAAGTGCTGTTAAGAAAGGTGTTGGGCAAACTGAAATTGATGTCTGTCATCCTTCCTTCAAATGAGCCAATGGGGAGTGATTGTTTATTGGGTACAGAGTTTAAGTTTGTGATGATGGAAAAGTTCTGGAAGTGGATAGCAGTGAGGGTTGCCCAAAATATGAATATATTTAGTATCATTGAACTGTATAATTATAAATGATTAAAATAATAAAAATTATATATATTTCAATACACACATACACAGATTGTTGGATGAATCCAAAAAAAAGCAAAGAACCAGTATGCACTACTGGAGCTCAACCAGTTGCTGCTGCTTCCACTGCTGAAGCCACACAACGGCTTCTGTTACCACACAGCAAACTAAAGACAGCTGCATCTGGGCAGGTGCCTCTAGATGATGACACAGTTCATGACAGTGAACTGTGCTGAGTCTGGCTGCCAAACACTAATGAACCAGCAGCTTGATCGAAAGAAGGACTTCATCTCACTTCCAGTTGCAACACTCACACATAATGCTTCTCATTGGTAGAACCAGATTTTCATTCATTACACCGACTGCAAGGGAGCTTTAGGAAAGTCATTTTCAGCTTTATAGCATTCATTGGCAGGAAGGAACATAGAAAAGGAAAAATAGATGCTAAGTGCCAATTATCCATAAACAACATAGTGTTCCACAGTATTAATTACTTTATGTTTGCATTATTATGCAGTGTCATTACTATATGCAAGTACTATAAATTATTATGCAGTGTTATTACTATATACAAGTACTGTAAATCACCCAGTAGTAGATGAGGGGATATGTGGCTGCTTGCAGCATTTTGCTGTTATAGATACCCATAAAGCATTTGTGAGATTACAATAAATTGTAAGGAGCAAAAAAGAGAAAGTCACCTCTTTAATAATTAGATTCTTGGGCTGGGGATGTGGCTCAAGCAGTAGCGCGCTCACCTGGCATGCGTGCAGCCCGGGTTCAATCCTCAGCACCACATACAAACAAAGATGTTGTGTCCGCCGAAAACTAAAAAATAAATATTAAAAAATCCTTTCTCTCTCTCTCTCTCTCTCTCTCTCTCTTTAAAAATAAAGTAAAATAATTAGATTCTTAATGTAGCAGAACGTTTTCCCACTTATTTTTCCCTTCTCAGTTCTTTGGCCCATTTATCAAATGAAACCTTGCATTTTTATTACCAAATTATGCAAATTTGTTTATATAATAAACATACTAACCTCTTGCCATATATAACACAAATATATTTCCTGACCTTTTATCTGGGTATTTCTTTTTTTATACATAAATATACTTTTTAATTGTAGGTAGACACAGTATCTTTATTTTCTTTTTATGTGGTGCTGAGGATTGAATCCAGTGTGTCACACATGCTAGGCAAGCACTTTACCACTGAGTTACCACCCTAGCTGGGTATTTTTTTTTTAACTAATATTCATTTTTTTGACATATAAAATTTTTATTATTAAGTCTTGATCTTTTTAAAATATCACTGGTTTTTCCTTGGAAGCTTTTTATCCTCTACTTTTAAGGAATTGATAAATATTTATTTCTAATTCTGTATACATATCTGATATGTAAAAGATAGAGTTAAAAGATAGAGTCATGCCATTTTTGTAGCATTTAGTGAAATACACATAAAGTCCACAGATCATAAATTCATTGAGTTTTTCTGAACTTAGAGTCATTCTCCGTTTAAAAATCAGTATGGAAGCCGGGTGCAGTGGCGCACACCTGTAATCCCAGTGGCTCAGTAGGCTGAGACAAGAGGATCATGAGTTCAAAGCCAGCCTCAGCAATGGCTAGGTGCTAAGCAACTCAGGGAGAACCTGTCTCTAAATTAAAAATACAAAATAGGGTTGGAGATATGGCTCAGTGGTTGAGTGTTCCTGAGTTCAATCCTCAGTACCACCCCCCCCAAAAAAAAATCAGTCTGCAATTTATTTTGTTATAGTAATGGTTTTGTTTTATCCTTAAATTGTTGGTCTCCTTCCCAAAAGAATCACATTTACCTTCCTTGTAGATCCCACCCACGTCATGGGCCTGTACCCGGATCTGCTGCCCACAGACTACAGGAAGCAATTGCAGTATCCTAACCCATTGCCTGTGTTGTCTGGCGCTGAATTAGAGAAAGCTCACTTAGCCCTGATCGACTACCTGACACAGGTAAGTATAACACAGAGGTATATGGAAGCATTCACCTGGAATTTTTAATTCCTATTTCTCAATGATGGGGATTTGAGAGTCTTTGATAATGCTACAGGTGTTCTGTAAATGGGTGCTTTTGAGGTCTATGTGAGGCACTGTTTCTTCTGCTATTTCTCCCAACTTAATAGTACCATTGGGCTCTTTTTTGCCAAGTCATGATACCAGGGAATACACACAATTTCTAGTGAATTCAAACTAAACCATTATAGGGACTAAAAAGGATAAATTTTAATTGTTGGAAGAAAATTAAGTTTTTAAAATGAACTTTGATACCATACATAATTATGGGTAAAATGCTTTCTCTGTGCAGAAAACTTAAGAACACACACAGAAAAGTACAAAACAGAAATACAAATCACCTATATCTCCACTCCCTGAGATAAGTAACTAACATTTTAATGTTGCCCTTTGGGTTTTATACATATATATGAATTAGCTTTTGCTTATTTATTACAAATGGATATCAAACTATATATTCTGTTTTGTAGCTTATTTTTTTAAATTTAGCCATATATTGGGGTAGTCCTTTCTTATTAATAAATAGTCTTCTGTAACATGTGTTTTGGGAGATGTTTAGATTAATTTTTATTTCAGTTTACTATTACAGACAGGTAAGTGAAATTTTGAAGTCGATACTAAAATGAACATCTCCCTTAAAGCCTCCTAACCCACAATTTGTCACAAAAAGTTATTATTTATTTCCTGTGCATCCATTCAGTGTTGAAGACCTTATATTTTTTCCTGTTAAATGTCCTGCACACCTTTGTAAGGGGTCTTCCAGTGTACATGGAGAAGAGTTAGAAAAATTGCAGTGTTGCCTTCTATTCTCTGCTTCTTGATCAATGAGTATCTTCAGGTCTAATTAGGCATGCTTAAGCCTTTGCACTTCCTTGACACTGGGCTCTCAGGGAACCCAGCTATGACTGCAAGCCTATAGGGAGCACACCAACTTGCCTCAGTGTGCATATTATACCACTCTGTGCCAAGTGGAAAAGAGTTCCTGGGACAAGTGTTTCCCAAAGTCTAAGGTGCTACAGAAGGCCCTCTACTGCCAATGATTTAGCTTTAGAAATATGAGCACACATTCTTCCCTGGCCTTTTTCACTGACATTGGAAATACATGAAGTAAACTGACACCAGTAATATGCCAGAGAGATACCAAAGCATACAAGACCATGAGCTTAGCCAGATACAAAAGAATGCAAGCTGGATGATTCCACTTATAGAAGTTTTAGACTAGGCAAACACTAATAGATAATTGTTGCTATTGTTATTATAACTGTGGGAATTTGGCAATCATCATATGACCCTTGATAATTGAGATCAGAGTCATAATGTAAGATCAGGGTTAATAGACATGAGCTGATTTGGAGATATTCAGAGTTATTTAATAACTTAGGTTTTGAAGCAAAGTATAAAGCTGGCCTTGACCCCACATTTTTGACCTTTGTAGAAACGAAGTCAGTTGGTAAAGAAGCTGAATGACTCTGATCATCAGTCTAGCACCTCCCCACTCATGGAAGGCACTCCCACCATCAAATCCAAGAAGAAGCTGCTGCAAATCATTGACACCACCCTGCTCAAGTGCTACCTCCACGTGAGTTGCCCAAACACTTGGGTACCCTTGCTCTGAAATTTGGGTTGTGGAAAGGAGCTCTATACCTTAGGTGACTTACCACTAATAAGAACAAAGTCTTTGATGATGCTTATGAGTGTCCTGGAATTAAGAGGATAAGGCAAGATTTTGTTTCAGAATCTTAAAATGGCCTTTTTTTTTTCCCCCCTAGTAAGATTGAGATTATGACTACAGTAATTCCTCAATAGTGACCTCTTTTGGGCTGGGGTTGCAACTTAGTGGTAAAGTGCTTGCCTAGCACACCTAAGGCACTGGGTTCAGTCCTCAGAACCACATAAAGATAAATAGATAAAACAAAGGTATATTTTTAAAAAGTGTCCTTTTTTCCCAAACCCAGAATATTGTGGTGTTGTGCAGAAGGACATAAATGTTCTAAAAGCTACTATCTGTCATCCTATAAAAGGATTGTTTGCTTTCTTGTGCTCGTGTTACATCCCTGGCCTTTCAGCCTGAAATAGGCCTAGGCTAGGGAAGGGCCTTCCTGAAGGCTCTCCAGGAAGCAGTTTCCACTGAAGTCCTGCTCCCCCTACAGACAAACGTGGCCCTGGTGGCCCCCTTGCTACGCCTGGAGAACAATCACTGCCACATTGAGGAGAGTGAGCATGTGCTGAAGAAGGCTCACAAGTACAGTGAACTGATAATCCTGTATGAGAAGAAGGGGCTCCATGAGAAAGGTGATGGGAGGACTGGCTTCTTCCCTGCTGGAGGGTGTCTTGTATGCTGGTGGGAAACCTGAGGTATGATGAATCTCCCCTGGGGAAGAAGCTTATGATCTTGTTTTTGGGCTTTGTGACTAGCTCTGCAGGTGCTGGTGGACCAGTCCAAGAAAGCAAACTCCCCTCTAAAAGGCCATGAGAGGACAGTGCAGTATCTGCAGCACCTGGGTGAGTAGACCTTTTGAAGATAGTGGGAAATGGCTCTTGTTTACAGGGCCTGGTCTCCCTCCATTTCTGAGTCTGGCTGGTTGGTCTCTTCCCTCCCTTATGTTCACTCAGCTTCATTCCTCCACTTGGCATAAATCCCTCTGTGGTCCAACTGTGACAGCCCCCTTGGCGTTTGGCTAGCACAGGATGTCCAAACAGCCTTGAGTGGTATTTGAAAAGAGTTATCTTTGTAAGATAAATTTTGGGCTACCTGCACACCTGCCTCCCATTCCCATTGGATGAATCAGTCTTACTATTGTCAACTACTGATAAATCTTACTTTACCCTCCAGGCACAGAAAACCTGCATTTGATTTTTTCCTACTCAGTGTGGGTGCTGAGAGACTTCCCGGAAGATGGCCTGAAGGTAGGTCACAGAGCCCCTGGAATTTATCTGATGCCATGTTTGATCCTGATTATTCCTGGGACAGCAGTGGATGCAATGGGGAGGATGGGTTCATGCCATTTCTTTGGGGCTTGACAGTGCAGGTTGGGATGCAGGAGACCACAGTGCACAGTAATAGAAGGAGCTTTGTCTCCAAATCAGGAAACCTACAACCTAGTCTTGCCACACAATAACCAGCTACAGGTGTCTTCTTGTACACCCTTCCCCTCCAAAAGTCTTTTTCATTTCTATACTTGTACACAGTTTGGTGGAACTGCAGTGAAATGATTCTGCTGCTACAACTCAGGTTTATTCTGACAGATTTTTACTGAAGATCTCCCAGAGGTGGAGTCTCTGCCACGAGATCGAGTGCTTGGCTTCTTAATAGAGAATTTTAAGGGTCTGGCTATTCCATATCTGGTAAGATACTTTTCATTCTACACTAAAGAGTTTTTAAGCCTAGGATCCAAGATTACATGCTTCATTTACCAGGCAGTTCAGATTTGGGTTTTTTGTCACTTGGGGCTTGGTGGAAATGTAAGGAAATGGATTATGTTAATTTCCTTTGAAGAGACATCTCATGAGACCAAGCTGAAAATGCTACTTAGGGTGTTACCTTCTAAATCAAAGTAAAGTACAGAGTGGTGAAAGATTGATGTTTTAGAAAAACAGCTAAAAATCACATTTATACAACCAAACACAGCTGTGGCCATAAGACAATCAAGTACTGAAATGCAAATATTTAGCTTTAATTATGTAGGCTGATACAAGATTTTGAAGGATTGTGGGGCAAAACTAATTAAAGTAGTTTAAATTGGAAATTGAAAAACAATAATTCCTGGGTTTATTTTGCTGGATTGCATTGTGAGGGTTCCTGGTGGTTTTAGGAGAGCTATCACTTGGTAATCTTGGCAGTTTAATTAAGGGATAATATGCACCTGTTGACCTTCAAAAGTGAGAGGGAGCCTGGGAGAACAGTCGCAGTATAGAGAGTACCAACCAAACAGACCTATCTCTCGTCTCAGGAACACATCATCCATGTTTGGGAGGAGACAGGCTCTCGATTCCACAACTGCCTAATCCAGCTGTACTGTGAGAAGGTGCAAGGTCTGATGAAGGAGTACCTCCTGTCCTTCCCTGCAGGTATCAGTAACTTTTGAAAGCTGGTTGGTCCCAGGCCTTTAAGCAAAAACAGACCTGGGCACCATGTGTGGTGAGGGGAAGCAGATTTCACTTCACTGTTCTCTGCCCAATCTGCAGGAAGTCCCTTAGAGGAGCCATGGGTGCTAAGTGACCCAGACCCAGCACGTGAGACCTCAAACCCTTGTCTGGGTCTGGGCATCTCTGGGAGTCATACGTGGGGGAGGGCAGAAGGAACAGATCTGTCTGCAAGATGACAGCTATGCTGAGAAGAAACAGGTTGGCCTACCCATGTCTCTCTCCTCAGCCTGCTTTTTTTTTTTTTTTTTTAAATAACCTAAAACCAATGTTTTGGGATACCAGAGACCATAAAGTAAAAGAACTCCACACGGAAATTACCAGAGTCCTTTCTGATCATGTGGTGGCGTCATTGAGCCCCATCCCCCTCATTTTTCTTGATGATCCTACATTGGTACCTGACGGCAATACCCTTTCACATTGAACCTGGTTTCCTTTAAAGGCAAAACCCCAGTCCCTGCTGGAGAGGAACTGGGTGAGCTGGGAGAATACCGGCAAAAGCTGCTCATGTTCTTAGAGATTTCCAGCTACTATGATCCAGGCCGGCTCATCTGTGATTTTCCTTTTGATGGTGAGTGTCTGCTGAAGGTAATGAAAAAGCCAGCCTTTTCCGTTTTATTGTTCTCCTGTCCTTTCTTGGGGAAAATAGGGTGTTTGGGGCCAGTGCTCCTGCTTTGTCCTCTCAGAAGACTGACTTTTGTACTGTGACTGAGAGAAGTCTCTTTTCTGGGTGTGAACCACATTTTAATTAATACCCAAGTTGTAACCTGTTTAGTGTTCCAGAATATGTTCTTGGCCAAATTCCTTCTTTAGCAGCTTTTGTAATCTGGCATAATTCAAAAAGATTTTTGTCTGATGTATAAACTCTGTGAGCACTGAGAACAAATGTTTGCTTTTCTTCCCTGAGTGCCTAGCTTGTTGAAGGTATTATTATATACTTGGCTATTAAATGGGTCTTCTTAACATTTATAAGTGATCATAAGGAAGGTCGGATGGGCTGGGGATGTGGCTCAATGTTATAGTGCTTGCCTAGATGTACAATTTTCTGGGTTTAATCCCTAGTACTTAAAAAGTGTATGTGTGGGTTGGGGGCATACAGTACCTCCTAAAATAGCTCCTTCACCCTTTAAAAAATTTAGTAATTTTCTCTTTAGGTGGGGAGAACCCCCAAGTAACAAAAATAATATTTTCTTCTAATTTATTATTTTGGTAATGAGGATTGAACCCAGGGTTCTGCACTTGCTAATCATGTGCTATATACCATTAAGCTAGATGTTTTTTCTACTTTACATTGCCCTGGTATTCGTTCCCCTGATAACTTAGTCCCCAACCTTGAGCTTATATAATGATGGTGATGGTGACTTCTTTTTTGCAGAGGTGGTGCTTTTCTACACATATTGATAAACCAATGTGTATTCTAGACATAGGATTGGACCCACCAGATGTTCATTCTCAATAGGCTGACCTTTTGCAGAGGGGGATTGAACTCAAGGCTTTGGGCATGCTAGGCAAGTGCTGTACCACTGAGCTACCAGCCCAGTGGCAGTTACTTACTTTTATTCCTTTTTCCTCTTAGGCCTCTTAGAAGAACGAGCCCTCTTGTTGGGGCGCATGGGAAAACATGAGCAAGCACTCTTCATTTATGTCCACGTCTTGAAGGATACAAGGATGGCTGAGGAGTAAGTCAGCCCAGTTATCCCCCCTCTCAAGGAATTAATAAGCAGGCCCCAGATAGATGAGTGGTACAAGAGACTAACAAAACCATCTCCCTACATTGCACTTCAGGAGCACAAGTCACCTGCCATAGTCACCCTTGGTTTTGGCTACTGTTAGGCTGCAGGAGCAGGCCATGTGGATAGCCTTTCATCTAGATGTATTTCCCTCTCACCTTCCCTTACCACTTTTTACCTTCCAGGTACTGCCACACACACTACGACCAAAACAAAGATGGCAACAAAGATGTAAGTAATAGCCCTGATACAGGAGAGCATGTATGCATCTCCTCCCCTTTAGTAGAACTCCCCTCATCTGGTGTGACCACAGATGGCACTAGTATGAATTTCTAAATGAGATAAGACATGAGTCTGCATGGAATGATATTTGCATATGTATTGAAGGAGATGCAAGGTGATTGTATGTCCTGGTTTGCTTGGGATAGTTCTGGCTTACGTCTGCTGTCATCCATGTGATTATTAGTAGCATCCCTGTCCCTTTACTCTCAAGAGTCCTGATTAGTTAATTAATTATGTGGTCAGCCTATTGAGAATGAACATCTGGTGGGTCCAATCCTATGTCTAGAATACACATTGGTTTATCAATATGTGTAGATATGTGTAATTGTCATCACTAGAGATTGGAGTGCTGCTAGAATCTAGGAGTTAGAAGCCAGATATCCTGCTAAGCAAAACACAGGATAGTCCCAACCACAAGAAATTATCTGGCCCCAAATGTTGAGAGTGCTGAGGTATATAAATCCTGTGGCTCCTCTTCAGGCAAAAAACAGTCTTTAATTAACTTCCTCATTGTTGGTTTGACTTTTCTGACATTAAAAGGTGAAAATGACATCTGTAATCCTAGCAATTCAGGAGGCTGAGACAGGAGGATTGCTTCAGCAACTTAGCAAGGCACTAAGCAACTTAGTGAAGCCTTGTCTCAAATTAAAAAGGGCTGGGGATATGGCTCAGTGGTTAAGTGCCTCTGTGTTCCATCCCCAGTACCAAAAAAAAGAATAGGAAAGGAAAGGTGAAAATGGTATATTTTAAATGTTCCTCATCAGCTGTTACTATAGACCAACCCTTCTAATCTTTAGGCCTACTATCCCAGGGGGTTGGAATTAGGGGAGTTCTGAGAGTGTTACTGCCAGCCTGATGTGTGCAACTTGTCTATTTGAGACAGGTGTATCTGTCCCTGCTTCGGATGTACCTGTCACCCCCCAGCATTCACTGCCTAGGGCCTATAAAGCTGGAGCTGCTGGAGCCACAAGCCAACCTCCAGGCTGCCCTGCAGGTCCTTGAGCTACACCATAGCAAACTGGATACCACCAAGGTACAAGATTCTTCTCCAAGAGATGGAGCACCAAATGACAAAGAGGTTGGGGAAAGAGACTAGGATCTGAGAGCTCTTAGCTTCATGTTCTCTCTATTTCACCCACGTTCCCATCTCTGTTCCTGTTCTAGGCTCTCAACCTTCTGCCAGCAAACACTCAGATCAATGACATACGTATATTTCTGGAAAAGGTCTTGGAAGAAAATGCACAAAAGAAACGGTTCAATCAAGTACTCAAGAACCTTCTCCATGCTGAGTTCCTGAGGGTATGGGCCTTCCAAACTCTAGTGGGCTTTTATATTTTAGTATGAGACAGTTTCCACTCTCTTTCCTCAGTTCCACCAAGGCAGAGTCTCATATATGAAAATAGTGTAGCTCAAGCTGGTCCAAGCTTTATAATTAGTTGCAAGTGTTCCATCAGGGAGAATCTGTGAACATTGAAGGATGAATCCGTGGCAACCTCTACTTTCTGTTTCTATGTGCTTGATGCAGAACTTCTCTTGCAGGTCCAGGAAGAACGGATTTTACATCAGCAGGTGAAGTGCATCATCACAGAGGAGAAAGTGTGCATGGTATGTAAGAAGAAGATTGGGAACAGGTGAGTGCCACCCTACCAGCATCTGAACTCAGATGGGAGCTACCCAGAGGTGGAAAATGCACATGATGGATTTCTGACCTTATCCAGGGAGGAAAGCACAACTACTGGCAGTCCTATCTGTGTTTAGTTCTTGTATTTTGAAAGAGCTATCTCTGTTCTCTATTGGAGGTGGACTTTGATAATTTAAAGACCTGAAATGTATGGCACGGAACTGTTGAATTCTTGCTTAAAAACTTCTTTTCCTCTGGCAACTAGAAGTAATGATGTAGCCAGTGTGTGAGAGAGATGGGCAGAAAGTCCTTATATCTTAAGGAAAAAAAAAAATTTCAACCTGCTACCCTCCGAAAAGCAAATCCTCTAAGCCCATGTTCTGTAGTCAGTCTTTTTTCCTTCAAGGGAGAGTGATTTGTTCTTTCTCTTAAATGGCTGGAAGAATTCTTTGCTTTAGAAAGACTTAAATCACTGTTCTTTTTTAGAGTAGCCTGAAACTTGTTCTGATGAGCATCGTCGGCCTTCAATAAGCCAGTACTGAGCTATGACCATGTGTTTTACATTGTTTTTTTGTTTTAGTTTTGTGGGGCCAGTGATGGAACCCAGGCCCCTGTGCATGTTAGGCAAAGTGCTCTACCACTGAGATATACTCTCAGCCATGGACTGATTATTTAATAAGAAATGTCCCCATGTACTTGAACTTTATGCAGTTCATTCTCTGTTCAGTTATTACACAAAGATAGTGGCTACAGAAATCCAGAGGCCCTCAGTACAGGCTGTTCTTTGGGATTTGGGTGTGCATATACCAGGGTGACTCCCAGGTATATGGTACCTCTTTGCAAGTACTAGAGAAATAGTCTATTGGAGAACATCCTGACTTCTGAGCCATTTTCCTTCCCTACAGTGCATTTGCAAGATACCCCAATGGAGTGGTTGTGCACTACTTCTGTTCCAAAGAAGTAAACCCAGCTGACACCTGAGCCCAGCATCCCAGGGATTCAGCATGGACAGCTCAGCTATCTCAGAGAGGTGAAGGAGCAGCTGGCCTTAGGAATCGGGGGCTGCCACCATTCAGTGTCTCCCCATTTGGACACTACTGGTTACCTTGCACCCTGGAACATCTTTGAATTAGCTAGACTTCTGGTCTGGCATTACCAGCTTTTTTATAGAAAAGAGATTAGTTACACTTGATACCATTATGTTGCGGGCAATTCCAGAGAATTAACACCTGCATGGACAGGAAGAGATGCACCATCTTGCCTTGGCATATCAATCACCTGAATAAGGAGACTTATTCCAAATGTTTATTGTACCCATGGGGTTATTTATTGAGAGTTTTTCTATTAAGATAAGTGCACGGCTTCACAAGCACCCCTCAACAAGGCTCCCTGGAGAGTCCTGTGGAAGAATGAATACAAGAGCCCCTCCAGCCACAGAGACCAAGCAATTCATCTGTGTAATGCCAGCAATTTCACCACAGAAGCTGAGCTCTGTGTCCCCTCAGCAGTCTCCTTGCTTGTCTCTTTAATATTCAGTTTTCTTTTATTTTTGCACTATTTATTTTCTCCCTTTATCTCTTCCCTTACTGTGTCACCCAGGCTGGTTCCCACTCTGTGGACACTAGGAATAGCTAATATTTAAATGTGGTAAAATGAGAAGCAAGAGGAAGTCTCAGTTTCTAGGAACACACTGATAATCAATTGTCAGTACATTGTAAATAGGCCCTCTTTGGCCCTACTATTAGGCAAACGTTCCCATAGAGGCTCCTGCCTCACTTACCTCCTGCCTGGACAGGTTGGTTTAGCCTTTGAGAACAGAGATCTTTATGCTTTGGACACCTTTCTCCTTTCCAACCAGTTTCTGTCCTCTTACCTTCCACATGGGCCTGGCCATTGTTCCTTGGCTTTGTTTTGCAGGGGTTGGAGGATTGTGTTCTGATGGAAAGTTGGATCTCTCCCACACACTAGAATTAGTCATATCAGGAACTGACACTGCTTTGGTGCTGAGTGTTAGTGAGGATTCAGGAACAGCAGAATGATACAGGAGGGTAGGGGCAGGAGCATATGGTTTTGTAAGATAACACCACCAGTTCTATTGAGTGCTGTGGGGGATCCTGCCAGAGAGGCCCAAGATGGAGTTTCTCACATTGTAGGCTGTGTGGGGCAAGTGGTCTTGCATCCTATCCTCACTAGGGTTTTTGTAGATTTGTAATCTTGTTGCCCTTGTGTCTTCAAGGATAGTGAGGATGGCTGATGGTACCCAATGCTGACACTTTCAGTGGCTCATCCTTGACATATATTGGTCCTTTGCAAACTACAGTACTGTTCTGGGTTGGTCTCTGTGCTATAGGCCAACTTGTTGAAGATAAGTAAGCAGACTGGGTTCCTCCCAGATACTTTCTATGTGTAGGTGGGAAGGTCTAAGGATACTGAGCAAGTCCACCCGCACCATTCACAGACATGGGGGGCTCTGTTCAGATCTGAGAACCTGGGCAATGTTTCAGAAGAGCCTTCTGGAGCAGCATGTGGAGAAAGAAAAGTCCCTGGCCATTGCCACTCATAAGAACCAGTGCTGTGCATGACCCTGTCTGCACTTCTCTGGCTGTCCTTCCTCCAGAAGCAGCAGAAAAGAGCAGGCCAGCCTCCACTGCATGGCAGGAACTTTCCCTGCCAGGCAAACCCTGCCTTCTTGGCCTGCTGTGCTTGTACCTTCCATTCTCATGAACTGTGTTGGAAGCAATAGAATAAAGAGTGTGCATTTTCTTCCCATCTGGTATCCCTATATGACCCCATTTTCCCAAACTCCAGTCTTCCTTCACTGGACTCTCTCTGCCCTCTGCATAGGTATGGAGAAGGCTGGAGATGAAGGTCCTGTAGTGAAGACTGATGGACATCTCATAACTTCTAATAAACATAATCAAGCAAGAAGCCAAGCTTGTCTGAATCTTTTATACCCTTTCATGTGGACTTTGGTTAAAAAGAAAGACAGTGAAAGGAATCTAATTTAGCTAAAAATGGAGAATAAGCCAGTAGTTGTTGCAGTAATTCACTTGCAGGTCAGCATGGGAAAAGAAAGAAGAAGCAGAGCAAGCGAAGCAGCAGCAGAAAAAAAAGTCCTTTATTGTATACAAGCAATCTTTTTATAGTATTGTGTACAAAGAAGGCAGCCTTCCAACATCAATAAATCAAGTCTTTCAGGTAATTAAACATAGCATACAGAAGTTTTACTTTCTAATCAGAAGTGACCCGCTTCTCATGGATAATCTATTCTCGGCCCGGAGTATGTTGAGCTCTGCTCTTTGTTAAGAACAGATAATAAAATTTTTCTCAGCGCCCTCTTAGCCCACTTGGCAGAACATCCCGTTTGCAGGCAAGTCCTCCCAAGGACAGCAGACACCTCGTTTTCAAGCATGTCTGCTGTTACCTTATCTAAACCTTGAAGGTGCCTCTCGTTTGCAAGTAGGCCCTCCCAAGGACAGCAGACACCTCATTTTCAAGCATGTCCGCTGTTACCTATCTATACCTTGACAGAATATCCCATTTGCAGGCAGACTCCATCAAGGACAGTAGTAGTAACGCAGTCACATCTGATTCTCTACAAGTAGTGACTATGAAAAAATTAGAATTAATGCTTCTCTTGTGAATATGTCTGTGCTGTCTAGTACAGCGAGTGTGACTGTAGGCTGATAGGTTGACAGCACATACAGAACATTTTCCTCATCTCAGTGTCCTATAGACTCACAGGCACTCTAGATAATCCACATTATCTTTCCCTTCACTTCACATTGCAGGGTTTCTTGCCTCTTCCTACAGGTCATGGTAAACGGAAAGGTGATGCAAGGAAGGATTTGGGATGGGTAGGAGTGAGAACCTAAGGATGTTTGAGAAATGGCCCACTTTGGCCCACTCCAAAAATACAATTTGGTCCTTCTATATAATCCTCTTGAGCTGTCTGTGACCATCCTGAGTTTCCTTTGGTAATATCTGAAACTATTGAGTCATCATTTTGAGGCATAAGGCAGATGACTTCAGAAAAAGTGGTACATCCCAGAAAGTATGCAAGTCAGACAGGACCATAGCCTTTCTCTGCCACCAGCTGCCTTGTGCCCTTCCCACTTTGGCCTCTGGCTCCTCTGGTTCCAGGAGTGAGAGTGCCTTACATGTTCACAGAGATCACCAAGGAGGCTGGACTGAGTCATTTCTGAGAGCCCTGTCCCCCCACCCCACCCCCACAGAGCTTAGCTTCATAGTCCAAATCAAGCAGAGACAGGCTCTCCCTTGAATATTGACTTCCTCTGGCAGTCCCACACCCTTTGGTTCTGGGAGTTTCTGGTCTGAACTATTCTAATTGGTTCATTTTGGAATTGAATCCCCTTTTTTGTGAGGGGGTTTGTCTTAGGATTGAACCCAGGGCCTGCGACTGATCTATATTCCCAGCCCTTTTTAGTTCGTTAGATAGGGTCTCACTAAGTTCCCAGGCTGGTCTCAAACTTGCCATCCTCCGGGTGTGTGCTACCAAGTCCAACTTGAATCGCCGTTTTTGGATGTTGTTTGAGCCTCTAACTCTAGGTCTTAGGGAAGAGTGGAGATGACTGGATCTTGATTGAGGAAAAGAAATGCATCTTCCAGTAGTTCACTGCCCCAGAGGTCCTTTCTTTTCCTCTCAGCCACCTAGAAGATTGTGTTCACAGAGGAGACATATATCTGCAGCCTGAGTCTACATGGCTGGGAGGACTCTAAAGCCTTTATCCCTAGCACCTGAAGGACAGAAATGTCACAGAGTGTGTGAGAACTACAGACCACCATGCTTATTGAGCTATAATAAGGGGAAAAGTCCTTTAATGAGCATGCCAGGCAAGTGACTGAGAGTAGGCCAGCACCCCAAAGAACCCCTACTACTTCCATTTTGGAATTATAATAGAGTTTATAAAGGCAAAAACCTCAAGAATGTAGGTAAGAAAAGATCTTATTGAGACAGATATTTTGATTACATGAGATTACATTGTTTTGATTACACATTTCAGACTCATTTTTGTTATATATCTGGGCTGCAAGAAGGTCCTTCAGTACTGTCAACATCAATATAGCTGTCTGGAGGCTGGAAAGAAGACATTTTAGCAAGCATAAAATGGAGTCAGGTCAAAACAAAATGGTGTTACCTTCATTCGTTTATATTTCAGAAAGACCTTCTTTATACCTGTCCATATTTATACCACTTGACCATATACCTACCTCTGAGCCATATGGGTATTCCCATTGTCCCGGGAAGGGGACCTGGGCAAAAGCCACAGAGAGTCATAAGGCCTGCAGATTTCTACAGGATATGGATGAACCTCCTACCTGTGTAACATGCAGCAGGCTCTTTAGTGTTTGGAGAATAAATAAGGGAGGCCAAGAGAGATGGGAAACATCTTTGAGTCCAGATGAAAACACTGATGAGGAGATTGCCATGTTTCTGCTTCAGAACCCTGAGGAAGGTAGAACATTTTTTTAAGTTTTACCAGCAGTTGGAAGAGGCTAGTTGCTGATACTTCATTTCCCTGCTGTTAATGGGAGGGCCGTGTTGGCTGTCTAGAGGGCTGGTCAGAAATAGGAATACCTGGGCTCACCCCCACTCATTAAGTGGGACATCAAGAGTGAGTCTTGGGTATCTATTTTTCACAACCAGCCTAATGATAACAAGAGGAACTGAATTGGTGAACCAGAATGCTAACCAGAGACTCCCAAGACTCTCTTGGATGAAACTGCCTCCTGCCTGAGGTAATCAGGCTCTAGTCACTTCCTGGAGCATGACAAACTCCACCTCTACCAGGAGAGGGCCACTCAGTCCTGAGTCCTCAGCACAGCGGCTGCTCCGCCCTCCCCACTCCAGGTATACCTGTCAGACTTGAGAACGGAGTGTAGCCAGGACAGGGAGAGAACAGGTGGGGCTTTCGGCTGGGAACTGGGTTGCCCAGCCATGTTGTGGGCCCTCTGGCCAAGGTGGCTGGCAGGCAAGGGGCTGCCCCTCCTGGAAGCTGTGCTGCTGCGGAAGAAAGAAAAGGGACCTCAGTGGAGGAACTTGCAGGTATGTACTTATCTCACCTGGAAGTTATGGACTGGAAAGTCCTGGAGCTACTGTGTCCTCTGTGAGGACAGAGGCCAGCCCCACACTTGGTTTTGACTTAGGATAGGACCTACCACCAAACAACCTGGCAAACCTTAAGCAAGAGAAATTGGCTAAGTGTTTGGCTCTCAAAAATAATCCCCTCCAAGTAGGAAATAGAGGGCTTTGATTGACTTTCACTTGTCTTTGATTGACTTTGCCAAGAATACTCTTGTCTGGCTGTAGAATTCACTGCTGTAGAAGGAATAAGGAATTGAAGGGATTAGAAAGGGACAGTCTCACTGCCTAGAAACTGCAATCTGATGTTCTCTCTCCTGGGCCCAAGCTACAATCTCCTTAATGACTTGTCAGACCAGTACAAGCCAGTGACTCTTAACTTCCCTTTACCTGCCTGCTGCCTACTAGGCTGTCTTCCAACCTGTGTCAGGGAGTTAATGGGTGCAGTGAATCAAGATTTCTCTTAATATTCAATCTCCTTAAACACATTACTCCATCCTCAGTCTACAGAAGAAGCACCATAGTCCAAGGGTGCTGTAGGCTTGTGGTCATGACAACCATAATTGGTTCAGCTAGTTCATCTCATGATGGAGCTGAGATTTGAAACTAGGACTGAAGGATGCCAGGATTCAGGTTCATTACCAATGCTGAATTCTCAACACCTAGGCCCTGTAAAGTCCTCCCAGGTATAGACCTCCTGGCATAGTGACATCAGCAACCCTGGACCAGACTGTTGCTTCTTGATGAGACAAAGGGAAACCTGAGCTAAGGATCACTGGAGGGAGACCAAATCCCCACCCCGAGAATCCTATAGCTGAGTCCTTGGAGTTCTGTTGTTTCAGCGGGAAACCCACCCATACTATGACCTCCAGGTGAAGGTGCTAAGGGCCAGAAATATCCAGAATGCAGACCCATGTGAGTGACCCCATCTCTACCTTCTCTCCTTCCTTTCCTTAAGGCCTCCCCAAGTTCATCTTAAGTTGTGTGTGTATGTGTGTTCATGAGTATATGTGCACTTACTTGGAGTGGGGTGGAAGGCTGATGCTAACCATCAAACAAGGTTGCCTAGATGAGGGGCATACAGGAAGGGGCCACTGGAGAGGAGAGTTCTACAGACTCCAGACCCCTCCCTGAATCTAGAAGATGCCAGCCTATAAGGGTGGCTGTCACCACAAGTCAATACCTGCTTTCCATGCTGGTGCTCACATGGTTGTGGGGGTGGGAGGGTTATTACCTGAACCAGACAGTTTCTGGGCATTACTCAATGGTCTTCATGTGATCTCTTCAATAGGTCACTGTAGGCTTTATGTTCAGTTGAATAGGAGATGCAACCAGTCAAGTTGGAGTCAATGATACCAAAGCTCCCTGCCCCCAACTTCTATCTCACCACACTACATGGGCACTACATCTCCATCCTGCTTCTTTCCTCTGGCCCAGCCACCTCCAGGAAACTTTTTTAGCAATAGGAGTTTGAGGCTGAGGACCTTTTTCTGCAGTGTCCAAAGCTGACTGCTATGTGCAACTGCGGCTGCCCACGGCATCCCCTATCCCTGCGCAGACAAAGATGGTGGCTAACTGCAGTGACCCTGAGTGGAATGAGACTTTTCACTACCAGATCCATGGTGCTGTGAAGGTGAGAACCAGCAAGAGGCCAATCTACAGAATGAAAAGAGCTCCTCCAAGCTCCTTACCTTCTGCCTGCTCCCTTTCCAGAATATCCTAGAGCTCATTCTCTATGACAAGGATGTCCTGGGCAGCGACCAGCTCTCCCTGCTCCTGTTTGACCTGAGGCATCTCAAGCCTGGCCAACCCCACAGACACATCTTTCCACTCAACCAGCAGGTGAGCCCCACCTAGGATAGCAGCAAGCCAAGCTGGAAGAGATGATACCAGTCTAGGGCCACCAATGGGAGAGGGGGCTCCTGTCATCACAGACCAAGTCTCCAAGATAGATCCTTCTCTATTCTGCAACATCAACCCTATAAGTTTTCTCACATATACTGATTCCTGTGTGAAAACAAATGTGGGCTCCTAGAGGACAGTGTGCTTAGTCTGTCTGTGTCTCTGTTAAATCCTCAGTGTCTAGAACAGCATCTGGCACAAACTTCTGAAAGAACAAAGTTCTCATAGAGATGCCATTACTTTCCTGTGCCCATGAGAGACCATGACAGTTCTCTTCTAGTCCTTGGAACCAAGCAGGGCTAAGGGTCAGGGATGTCCCTGAGGCTTTCAGAGCCTTTTAAAAACAGGTTCCCCTTGTTCCCTCCATATAGGATACACAAGAGCTGCAGGTGGAATTTTTTCTGGAGAAAAGGTGAGTCCAGGCAGAGTCAATACCTTCACATTTAGTCTCGGACTTACAGAGACATTTAAGTTGTATTATCTCCTAGCTGCTGGTTACCATGTCCTATGCTGGTCTTGCAGACCTGGCCTCAGAAGGGAAAGCTTGCTTTGGATACCCATTTACTTGTTGTCAGATAGGTCCCCACCCCCAACTCTAATGCTCCCCAGGCTCTTCCAACTGCTTTGGTAAGATTATTGTTGTAATAGCCATAGCAATGGGGCAAAATGGCTCATAAGCTCCTCCTCCTTTGCAGCCAAGTGCCTGCATCTGAAGTCATCACCAATGGAGTCCTGGTGGTGAGTAGGGAAGATAGGCTTGGGGCTGTCTGGGTCCAGGGAGCAGGGAGAAATCCATGACTGAGTCCATGATGCTCACTTGTCTCTGAAGGATACTCAGCCCCTCCTTAGAGTGGAGATGTGCTAGGAAGATGAAGAATAAGAAGCTGTCCTGACCCTGGGGTATAGCCCAGGACCCAGGCTTCCTACCTTGTGCACAGCCATTACTCTCCTGAGACCTTGACTGTTGAGACTACCAAAGGAGCCACTATCAGGATCCTATACTTTCCTTGTCCACCAGGGCCAACTTCCTTTGTGTCCTGGGAGGGGAACATAATAGGGCCTGCTATAGAAGATCCCTGCCCATAAGTCATTGGTCCTGGGAGAGCTGTTTCTTGGACCTTGCCCTGGATACTCTTCCCTTGCTCCAACGTGGTCCAGACCTGTGGAGAGCCCTATGGGCTCTGGCTCCCAAGGCTTCTGCTTTTCTCAGGCTCATCCCTGTTTGAGAATCCAGGGCACCCTCAAGGGAGATGGGACAGCCCCATATCCAGAGTATGGTAAGTCTGGTCAGGGCCTTGGGTCTTGCTTTTACTGCTTGAGGGAGGGTGGATGTGATGTTGAGGGATGCTAATATCAAGAAGAAGGGTCTAGAGCAGGAAATTACTAATTTTTTTACTGCTTAAAAGTGACCAAGGATGGAATGGGTGGTCCCGGAAGTAATGAATTTATTGTCCCTGGAAGTGTTCAAGCATAGAGGTTATATTGATCCAGTTATTGCTCTAAAAAAAAAAAAAAACACCCACAAAATCTCAGTAGCATTCAATAAGAAGCACTTATTTAGCTCACACATCTGGCAGTCAGCTGGGGCTTGGTTGATCAAGATTGGGCTTGGTAGGGATAGCTCCATGAGCCTGGGCTATAGGTTTGGCACTATTCCATGTGTCTGTTCTCTACCTCTGTGTCCAGCAGACTAGCCTGGGAATGTTCTTAGTGGACTGGGGCCATCAATACAGTCTGCCACAGACTAGAAGGAGGAATCCAGATGTGGGAGTAAAGTTGAGGCAGTGTGACAGCTAAGGGCCCTTCCCATATGGAGAGTCAAGAGCCTTTGGGATGAATGCTGCTCAGGTAGCATGGGGCACTTACTAATCAGACACTGTGCTAAGCACTTCACATTTGTTTGATCTTGTAATCCTCGAAGCAGCCCTGTGAGGCAGGAATAATCACTAACTTCTTTTAATTCATGAGACCAAAGTCTATTATTTCTGTCTATGACTAGCATATCCACATCTCAGTCCATAAACTTTTGTGTGAATGAAATAGCAAATTCCCAGTTTTCTCTAATTCTCTCCCTCCCTGACCAAGTCTCTAGTCTTATCTAATGCAAGGAGGTACTATAAGGGGTATGACCTCCATCTTATGGGTCCACCCTTAGGTATTTGTTGTTTTCATGTTGTGTTTGGGATCTGGGACTCTTCTTTGAGGCTGTCTGCAGGCCCTTCTGCCTGGATGTCATATGCAGAATGTCATATGTTATATGCATCTTCATCTGGCCTGCATACCACCCCTGCTGGGAAGCAGGGAAGGAAGCCGCCTCACTGCTCCTTTCCCACAGGTCTGTCTCTGCTTCTTCACAGCCTGAGCTTCACCTTCTATCCTGTACTGCCCCTCCCCTGCTTCTCCAAAGCATATTCTCTCTGCAGTCATGAATCACATTCTTCCTTTGTAACGTCCTCTGCCTACTCCCTACATTCTCCACTTTAGAAACGAAGGCCAGAGCAACTTGTAACCTATTTCCATTTTATCTCTGTTCATAAATCTCCCCCAAGGCAATGAGCTCAGAGCTTGAATTGGAGAGGGAAAGAGATGGGGGAAACTACCAGTTGAAAACTGGTTATTAATGTAATAAATAATCAATTTTATATAATTACATATTGTTATGGTGAGATTGCAATAAATCACTGAGTCAATTTTAAAGCAGAAGACGGAACACTTATTCACCAGCTGGTGGTCCAGGTTCACCAGATGGCTGGCCAAAGGCAGGCTGCAAGTCTATATTCTTTGACCTCCCTCCAGGGGTTAGAGCACACCTTTTAAAACATGTTAGTACATTAATCATAGTGTTTGTTGCTTTGATTCAAAACTACAAGCAAACATCATGAAATCTAAAATCATAAGCAGAAGGGGAAATGAGTAAAAACAATCCTAGTTGAGTACAAGTTAAAGAATGATCACTAATGTCTAGACAATCATTCTCTGACAGGAAACATTGTCCAAGAAAAATAGGAACCAAAAAGAGA